ATTTTTTAATTATGATCTTAATATTTTAATTTACAGGGCTCTTAATTTTGTTAAATCAGAAAACTAAAAATATAGGGAAACAATAAAAACAAATTTTCGAAATTTTAAGGCCTATTTTTTTGGCTTCCAATTAATCAAAGCTGTCGGCTGCTGCCATTGAAACCTCTCATGCCATGCTTTAGAAACCCAGCGGCAACAATTACGGGATTTTCCATCCACAGATACACACATTTTCTCAGTTCGTCTTCATTTTTCAGCCAAACCCCATATTTTCTATCCCTTCCCAAACCCTAATCGGTAACTCAAATTTCGATCCCCAAGTTGTTCTCTTCGGTGATGCCAAGGTCACCAATGGCGATTTTCACGTGGTGCTCACTGGTCCTGGTGCTTCAAGCTCCGGCCTTATGGCACTGATGAGGCCCTTCAAGTTTATGGAAGAGAATGTGATCAAAGGAATGTCCGTTACCACGGAGTTTTCGTTTTCGATTTCAGTTGGTAATGGTGTTAGCTTTTGTTATTGTTCCTCATAATTTCCCATCGAGATTTGTAGGCCCAGGTTTTCTTTTGGGCTATGGGGTTGAAATAGGTTTCTGGTATTGAATTTGACACCAAAATTGATGTGGGTAATCTTGAATCTTTATGAATCAGAAATGTTTCATCTCTTAATTTGGTGCTAAACAATGGGGACATATTGAAATCTTGGATAGATTATGATTCAAGCTCTAAAAGATTAGAAGTTAAATTGAGTAGATTTGGTGACAACAGGCCTTAAAAACCCATACTTGCATATCATATCGATTTGTTAGAAATCTGGGGTGTAGACAATGTTTTGGTGGGTATAGTGTCAACAAATGGCGATTCTGTACAGATTACTAGTGTGGTGTCTTTTCTTAGAGGTTTAGGTTAAAGAAGGCTAATAGTTGGATGCATTCATTGTAGGCAAATCCACATGATCATGTGAACAAGGAAGGAGAGGATTTATGGAGGCATAAGAGAAGCATTTGTGACTTTACAATTCTTGCTGGAGTTATTTTTGCCACACTGGATGTGGAGCCTCGGTGGCCTTTGTTGTGCTGTTCATGTGGGCAAGCTTTGTCAGTGGACACGTGGTGCTGCCTGTTGACTATCAAACAGGTCCAACAGATTTCAGGTATGAAAAGATCAAAGTGATTGTAGAGAAGGCCGGTGGAAGTGATAAGAATTAGAAAATGGAGTGTGTGGTCTTAGGTTGTTGATTTTTTGATGATGTAAAGATGAAAACTTAAGTGAAAATGAACATAAAATGAACATAAACTCAAGGATAAACTTGTGAAAATGAACATAAAATGAACATAAACTCAAGGATTAAACTTGAGAAATGATGAAATACATGAACACAGATGAAATACATAAACAGTGTTCTGATATATCAGCAAAAACAGCAGTGGGCATACATCAGATTTTTAAGAAAATAGCAACTTAAAGATGACAGTTGCTAAAACATAAGTTAAGTAACTGTAAAATAAACTACCATACCACCAAGCGTGAATCACAAAATTACATAAAGATAACTGCTAATACATAACTGTCATAACAGACTTAAAAGACTTGGTCTCAGATACTTCAACATTTTGTTAACTAATGTGATAAACCACAAATTTCTTTGTTATGTATCTTGTATGTGGCTCTAATGCTTAATGCTTTCTAGCTAAACTTCCTTCTTCTATGACATATTTAGATGAATGGAAATCATTTAATGTTGTTTGTGTTGTAGTCATAGATTGAGAATTATGCTAGTCAGTTTGAGAAGTGTATGACATATAAATCTTAGCAATGCCACTGCAATCAATAATGTTGCTTAAACTCGTAAAAGACATGGAAAAGTTTGATTCTTCCACATAATCTTTGTTGTCAATATTTATCTACATTGAGTGTCAATGTTTAAAGGTTCTTTTGGCACCTAACCTTTAGATAAACCTATGAGTTATTGCCATATGTGCAAAAAAGATGGACCTTTAATTTTAGGCCTCAGGGGTTAAAAAGATGCATTTCTTACACCCAAAAAGTGAAAGTATTCTTGCCTCTATTATAATCGTTTTAGTTCCGTATCAAGGCATCATTTTTGTGAACAAAGATAGACATTGTCGATTATCTAACCTTCTTCATCTTATCAATTTAGGACAGTGTCAGCTTCTATTTTGAGGAGTTATCTAGTGAACTTATTTGATCATCATGTATACTGTATTGTTGATCATTTTCTCAAGTAATTTACCCAAGTAAAGTGTTCTCTCTGCAGTTTTAACTTTAACAGGTATGCATATATAAGCCCATCTTTGTTGCATCATCCATGATACTCATTACTAAATTGTGTATTAATTAGACTTGTATGCATGGCACTTTTGACCACTTTGAGAAAATCATTCTTCCGCCAGCAATGCTACATCCTCTACCATTGCATTTTGTTGTTTGTTTAATTTGGTTGATGATTTGTCTACTTTGGCATCTTCCCTTTTATGATTTGATTTTTGTGGATCTACAAGATATATATTTCTATGCATACTGATTAGTGGTAGCTAATGTGCAAACAAACTCCCTCAGCACGATTTGACATATTGCCTCAATATAATACTGTGATCTGGTCCACCTTTTCCATTTTTTTTGTGGATCATCTCTCATCTGCAAATTTTTTTATTAATATTTCTTGCTTTCTTGCTTCCTTTTCTCTTTTTCATTAAACCATTTATGAGCGGTCTTCCTTTACTCTACTAAAGGTGGAGAATTTGGGTTCCTTTTGATTTTGTAGTATTTGTATTGCTCACTCAATTTTCATTTGGCACTTCCTGTCCTCCCAAAAGCAGCTCCACATATATTTACTTTTGTCTCATCAAAGCCAAAATATCCTCTCATTCTTTGATTCAGCGTATTTTGTGTCTTTGACTGAAGGTTATTGTTCCCATAGGGTATTTGTAACACCTTAAGGTGTTTTAATTTGTTTATTAATTTTATTTTAAATAGAATTAAAGTTTTTTTTTTAAAAAAAACTATACCCTTATTAAGTAAATAAAAATAAAAATTTTAATATTATTTAAATATAAATTAATAATAAATATGAAATTTCAACTGCTATTCACATTCTTCTTATGAATATTGATTCTCTATGCTTACTTTTAACTCTCCGTACCAAACGAAAGGGAGATATATTATTGTGCTCCTAATTAGCAATTTAAACACGTATAAAAGAATTTTAGTTTCGCACGTTTCTTTCTTTACCTACTGAGGGAAGATAACAAGAAAAAAAAAAAATAGTTGTCCTAACCTAATTTTTTAGTATTTGAATATTAATTCATACAAAATTTACATCTGAAAAATTAAAATTTTATTTATATGTTTTATTAAATTTTTATTTTTTTGAACATGATTACAATTGAGGAAGAGAAAAGAGATGAGAGGAAGGAAATATCTGGAGTTCGAAACTATAATATACGGAAGTGATCTTATTTGGTTCAGGTCAATGCTATTAAGTTGGAACATACAGACCAAAATTTCTATCTAAATTTAATGTAAAAATGAAAAAAAAAATTAATAAAATAATTAAAATAGAATGGAGGAATTTATTACAAATATACTAAAGTCATGGATTTGTTATTTCAGTTGACAAATCGTGCTGCTGGACGGTGGGCAAGTATTCTTGAATAGCCGCGACAATTTTGGAAAAAAAATATTCACGTGTCGCAAAAATTTCATATGGTGGGGCAGCAACACAGAATAGGAGTAACAGGCAACCGCTCAGTCCACATCTCAAATCTTTCTTTCCTCCTTGATCGCATCGCACATCATTGACCAGTCCACTTGATTAAATAAACCAAGACGCATCCATAAAATATTTTAATGGAGCTATCGTAGAGGATTTTTTACCAAACTCCGATCAATCAATGTTGACTGTTGAAACAATAATGGACGCTTTAAGGTTTTAATCTTGCTGTGAAAGAGAAAAGACAACTGTTGCGAGCGAAGCTTTCTGAGATTCTTACAGATCCCAAATTTGTGGGGATTAGAGATTTATACGGTTCTTTCGTTGCGGTTCATCCTCATCCTCAATATTTAATCGGGAACAGAGAGTCGTGGTGGGGTACACTGGCTGTGTTTGATAGTATATTAGAAGAAGTGGGAGAAGAAGAGGAGACGGAGTGGCTCTTGCGAGAGGAGGAAGACAACAGTGAGATAACCATGCAGGGAGTTGGCGACGTGGGTGGACGTCCCCGGAAGTTCCACGACGAGGAAAGGTTGGGCGATGACGTTCCCGAAACTGCCCATCAAATTAGTACCGGTATTTTTCACATTTCCTTCCCAAAGATTGAATCTTTTTCTTGTTAGCCTTTTCTAATGCTCGTGATTGAAAATGGGTTTTCTGTAGTATGAGAAATGGGATTGGTTAATAACCTTTTTCTTTTCCATTTCTGTAGTTTTTTTAATGGTGTTCTTTCTTTTGATGAGCTGATTTTGGAATTTTACAGATTCATGGTTTCAGGCGGGGTTTGTGCTGACCACTGGAGTTAACAGTGTTTATGTGTTGGGATATTCTGGGACCATCATGGTCCCTCTTGGTTGGATTGGAGGTGTTGTTGGATTAATTTTAGCAACTGCAATATCATTGTATGCAAATACTCTTGTTGCCAAGCTACATGAATTTGGGGGAAAGAGGCATATCAGGTACAGAGATCTTGCAGGATATATATATGGTATGTATGATAACTGAACTGTGAAAGGGAAAGAAATTAACTTATCTGTAGATGTAACTCAATTTAATTTTTTTTGTGGTTTTAACTAATGTGTGATGGTCCTTGTTTTTTTGACAGGTAAGAATGCTTATAGAATAACATGGGCATTGCAATATGTTAATCTTTTCATGATTAACATTGGATACATCATTCTGGCTGGTTCTGCCTTAAAGGTAAGATCAAATTGACTAAAACAATCTTGTATTTATCTGTCACATCTACTTGTCCAAGCTAGTTATACTTGAACTAATTAATACAATTTTCCTAGAAAATTTAATATTAGGAATATGATTTTTTATGACTGAGTTAGCCTTATTAAAATTCTCCACTTTATCTTTGTTTCACTTTTGATGATTCATCCATTGAAACTCCACTAAGTAGGCCATACGAGTTCGTTTCTACTAAGTTGTTTAACATAAATTTGCTATGCAGGCTGTTTATCACCTTTTCAGGGATGACCATGTCATGAAGCTTCCATATTTTATTGCTATTGCTGGAGTTGTATGCGCTTTGTTTGCCATAGCAACACCTCATTTGTCAGCTTTAAGGATATGGCTGGGATTTTCAACATTTTTGAGCCTGGTGTATATCATTGTGGCATGTGTGCTCTCAGCTAAGAATGGTAATTTATAGTGTTCTTTTTCCCGCCATTACATGTTTTATTCAATATTAACCATATGGAACTGATTGGATGAAAGCTTTGTACTTCATGGCATCTCTTAATATTGCTGAATGTCCCAATTCAAAACATGTTTTTAAGCATGTTATCATCTGTAACAATGTTAACAAGTTTGCACCCTAGGAAGCAAGAGCCTTCTTATTAGAAATTCCTTTTGTGCATATCTTCTGTGTTAAGTTTTTTTTGTGGGTTTCAAGCAAAATTGAAATAACAGTCTTCATGACGTTATAGGAATCGATTCACCACCAAGAGATTATAGTATATCAGGGTCAACCTGGAGCAGAATTTTTACGACTATAGGAGCAGCTGCAAATCTTGTCTTTGCATTCAATACAGGAATGCTTCCAGAAATACAGGTGTGTTGGGAATTGCCACTCAAGTTGTGTAAACAATAATGGGGGTTTCATAATATAGAACATCAGAATACCTTTTGTATGCCATGCCTTGAGTTTCTCAATTTCAGCTTAGTCCTGTTTGAGCCGTCTGAAACTTTACCCTACTGACTTTGCTTTCTGGAATAGGCAACAGTGAGGAAGCCTGCAGTGAAAAACATGCTAAAAGCTCTATACTTCCAGTTCACCGTTGGTGTTTTGCCAATGTATGCTGTTACATTCATTGGATACTGGGCTTATGGATCTTCAACATCAACCTATCTGCTCAATAGCGTAAAAGGTCCAGTCTGGTTGAAAGCATTTGCCAACATTTCTGCCTTCCTGCAATCAGTCATTGCTTTACATGTAAGTGTCCTAATCTACCACTTTTGCACTCATTGGTCTCATGAATTCTTCTTCAACCTAATCATCAGTTCTAAGTTCTAACCAACCTCGTTTTCTGCTTCCAGATATTTGCTAGTCCGACATATGAGTATTTGGACACCAAGTTTGGAATCACAGGAAGTCCATTCGCAATTAAAAACTTGTCATTCAGACTAGCAGCAAGAGGTGGCTATCTTGCAATAAGCACACTAGTCGCTGCTCTTTTGCCGTTCCTCGGAGATTTTGAGAGCCTAACAGGGGCTTTAAGCACATTCCCTCTTACGTTTATCCTTGCAAACCACATGTACCTAGTAGCAAATAAGAACAAACTGACCTCATTGCAAAAGCTCTGGCATTGGCTCAATGTGTGTTTCTTTGGCCTCATGTCTGTTGCAGCAGCAGTTTCAGCTTTAAGGCTCATAGCTGTGGATTCTAAAACGTATAGTTTATTTGCTGATTTATGATGAGCTTCATAGCTTATTTGGTTTGAGAGAAGAGGAGCAGAGGAAAAAATATTATAATTAATTAAATTATTTTGTTGATCCAACAATTTGATTTAATTTATAGAAATAAAGTTCCTTTCCTTCTCATTCCCTCCTCTCCATTTTTCTCAAACCAAACAAGTTATCAATATCATATATTTATTTTATGTACCTAAAGTCTAAACCACTCCGTGGGTTTTTTCAAACTTAATAATATTTTGCCAAAGCATTGGGGTATGGATGCCTCCGCTCTCCACATTTCTTTTTTCATTTTAAGGACTATATGTTAACTGCAACAATAATTTAAGTATAAATTATTTAATTAACAAATTGTACACTATTACATCATAAATTAAAAATGATAAGATAATTTGATCCAAACTCATTTCACTTCTTGTTAAAAAAGAGAACTCGTGTTTACTGAGATTCGAATTAAGAATCTGAAGACAAAATCTCAAATTGAGTGAGCCAAAGTTTTGGGCCTTTTTACAAGGAAGGCCCAAATACAGCTTATGCAACGCAGTGGTGAGGACGGGGTGACACGAGGTTCCCAATTCGGAGAGAAGGAAGTGGTAGAGGGAGATCTGATTCAAAAGATTTGATTTTGAAGTGCATCTTCTCCATTCTTGGGGTTTGCTTGAAACCCAGAAGGCATATACCGCGGCTGCCTTACAGTTTGGTTAGGTATGTTCCAAACTCAAGTTCTCATTCCCCTCTCTTCTTCTCTGCACAATTGGAGAAAAATGCTTATCTTTTCATGTGGGTTTATTTTGTATGAATTTTGAATCAATTTAGAATTTTGATCTAAAAAAGTTCTGGGTTTGGATGATTTGGTTAATCTTTGCTTTGTTTGGAGCAGGAAATGGGTTTGTGGAGACTGTTGGAAGGCTTTCTTCTTCTTGCTAATGCTTTAGCAATATTGAATGAAGATCGTTTTCTTGCATGCAGAGGATGGAGCTTCTCGGAATTCTCAGCACGCCCGACAAGGTCTTTTAAAGGGCAGGTTATTGGTCTGATTTATGCCACACAGTACATGAGGGTTCCTTTAATACTACTCAACACCATTTGCATTGTTGTAAAGTTTGTTTCTGGCTGATCCTCCTAGTCCTAGGTGTGACATTCAAACACATGAATTACGATTGTGTCTGAGGATTGATTTTTCCTCATTTTGATCTTTACAACTTTTCGTTCTTTTGATTGCGCATCCTCTGTCGTATGTAACTTTAGTACCTCTTATATGCTTTCTGTAACTCTGTTGCCTAAACTTGATTATGACCTCCAAATTTCTCTCCTGTTGCCAAATTTGAAGAGTGATTATATTTGGATGATTTGCTTCAAATGCCTTAATTCCTTTGCCATAAATTTTCCCTGCCACAAAGCAAATTTTGTTGTAGGAACTAGGAAGGGTATCCCATGTGTCTGAGAAACACTGCAACTTCTCTTGTGAGTCAGGGGGCATGGTCCTTGGCACTGCCTCTCCTTCCCATCGATCTCCTTCTCAGTTTCTCCTGCCAATGACCGGTAATCTCATCTTCTTTAGGTCACTATCTTTGTCTGTGGAAAGATTGTGACTGCAGCCTGTAAAAGCAAAAGCATGTCCTTCTCATACCTACAGTCATGTAGTTAGCAAAAACCAAAACGCTCCAAACTACCAAGGCATTAGTTTAGTGATTAAGTACGCGCTCTCAGGCCTTTGGAACTCTCAAGTTCCAATGTCCAAATGAAAGGGCATGATATGGATAGCCATTGTTTCCAAGTCTCCGGATCATTGTCCTGCCAAACTTTTCTACGTGATCTGTGAACTTGTGTCCGTCATACATCGCAAGGCAATGGAGCTTTTGGATTTGGATGTTATTGTGAAGAATATTGTTAGCTAAATCAGAATGTGTGAACTTCATAACCTTGTACTTAATAAGTAGCCAGCGTAATGTAATTGTATACTTTCATCTAAATTAAACTCGTATGTGAAATTTTTTTGGGTATGTAAAGACTAGGATCAAATTACAAATCTATAACTAAGAATATAAGTAATTCTATCATTATATCATATAATTGATTATGCTCATATGTAATGTTTGGTTCACGGGAACTATGGAAGAAATGTACCTTAGACCTAGATAGTGGGGCCTGTTTTAGTGGTTTAGTTATTTTGAATTTTAAAATAAAACTATAAAAAATTAGAAGTCATATTTTACAGTTAAATTATAATAAATTGTAAAATAAAAATTATTATATGAAAAAAGGGCTTTAACATCAAGGGATTTAATTCTATCTAACTATTAATATAATATAGTTTAATATAGTACAAATTACACACTTTTTTTTTTTTTGAAAAGATTATACTTATTTATTAGTCCAGTTTTCATTTGATTTAAAATTTTAAATCCTCGGTAGTCACCTTCTCTTTCTGACAAAACAGGCCTTTAAAAGCGAAAACAACTGGGTTAAGCCCAGCAGAAGTGTGGACCGAGGCAAGGGCTAGAAAACCACCGTGCAAAAGAAGCCCGTATGCAAAACTCCACCCGCTATATAAATAGCCGGAATCTAGAGAAGCCCTAATTAGGGTTTTGAGTTACTCTCTCGCAGGCGGCCGAAGGTAGAGCAGGAACGACCGAAAATGGTGAAGGGACGTCAAGGAGAAAGAGTCAGGTGCTTTGATCTCTTCTTTACTTACATCCGAAACCCCTAACCCTTTAGTTTCCCATTTTAACAGCAGCCTTAATTGTCGTCTTTTTTTTTTTTTTTTTCTTTCATTTTGTAGACTCTATGTAAGAGGAACCATCCTCGGATACAAGAGGTAATTACATTATACCTTGTTCAATTCGCTGTATATTTATTAATTTTCTGTTTTCTCGATTTGTAGAGTACGTTCTGCTTAATGGGTAGTAAAAAGAGTATTAAAGTTGAAAATTTTTGGTCGTCTGTTTCAATGGATTTGCTATTCGATGCTTAAGTAGGTTTCTAATTTGTGTTTGGTTGCTCTGAAAACTGTGAGAAAAAACTAGAGAAGTCTTAGTTTAAAGTTTGAAGTTTGTTGCTTTCTCTCTGCTTTATGGAGTCTCTTTGAGTAATGAAAGTTTAAAGGGTAATAACGGTGCCTTAGCTACATAAAATGGTGCAAATGCGATCAGCTTCTGATTTGGAACGATAATGTCGTTTATGGGAAAACTGAGTTCAACTTATGGGTTGTCTTGATGAATGTATTTGTTCTACCGAAGTCATTGATTTTGAAACGAAAAGAGAATATGGGGATGGAACTTTAGTGTCTGTGTTGTTGGCATACAGTGAACAGCCAGGAGGAATGGGAATTACGGTATTTGAGTTTTCATTTTGTCATTAGCACTTATGTGTGAATGGGTGGTCAGGTCGAAATCAAACCAATATCCAAACACTTCACTGATTCAGATTGAGGGAGTCAACACCAAGGAGGAGGTAGCATGGTACTGTGGTAAGCGCATGGCTTACATCTACAAGGCTAAGGTGAAGAAGAATGGCTCACACTATCGCTGCATTTGGGGGAAGGTAGCTAGGCCTCATGGTAACAGTGGTGTTGTTCGTGCCAAATTCAAGTCAAATCTACCTCCTAAGTCTATGGTAAGTCATTATTTTTTTGTCATTGATTTAGATTGATTTCTTTATTTGTGTTCCAACTTTGATCCATCAACTGTGCTTGTTCCTTTGCAGGGAGCTAGAGTAAGAGTCTTCATGTATCCCAGCAACATATGAGGTAATTATTTGTCACAGTTGGTCATAATTTAATTGGTCTTTTGGTAATTTGTTGCATTGGCTGAACGGTATATGCATCTGATTTGCTTATTATTGTTTCTTTATCTTTTCTCTTTGCAGTTCCGAGATATAGTTGGTTAATGGCTCAGAAGGAATTGCTGTCTACTTGTTTTTATCAACTTAGTCATATTGTTTAGTGTTTTTTGGATCCAATTTTCTCTTTGTTTAGGATTATGGAGCTGTTACTCTTCCTTAAATCCAATCAAGGATTCTTCAACCCATTTTGTTTCTCATTTTTAATCTTTGAGCAATCATAAACCGATGATGATGTATTCTGTTTCTTTCATTACCATGTTTGTTTTCATCGCATCGAAGATTGTCAACGGCCCTTTCCCTTATGAGCTTTGTTAGATAATATCTCACCAAAATACCAAATGCAGCCGTGAATGTATGACATCAATGTCCCATAAATGTGTACAACCACGCTGCAGATTAAAAAAGACAGTAAAAAGATTTGTTAGGTAGGCTACTTGATTCGCAAATATTTTTTGTTTGCAATATGCACACACGCTCCCTCCCTGAGTGTCAGTTCCTTCCCTCTCTTTTTATTACAGCTTCGGACTGAAGAAAAAGCTACTTTGTTTCCCATGGTATCTTTACCCTATTACAAGATAATGAAACCTTAAGCAAAGGTGCCATAGCAAGTCATTAATTCATGCAAAACTAATTACTTTGCAAATAATGTTTGTTAACAACAAATCTTCACTACTACAACGTGTATTGGAATTTGATTCATTACTATTGCGTGGGATATGCATATTGATTCATGTGAGAGTAACTATCACTGCTGATGCCAAATGTTAGCTGCTTGGAGTTGTCAATTAAATTTGCAAATGTATAGGGTGTAAATAAATTTATAATTGAAGAATGAAAAATGCCCGCATTCTGCGGAACTATAATCCTAAATTGTTCCTAATAAAGTCAAATAGACTTTAGAAGGAAAAGGAAAGACGACTCTGTTATCCAATTTCAAGAGATGGAATGATTCAAAACTTTTTTTTGGTAGTTGATTAAGGCATATGATCTACCATACTAATTATGTCATTTTCTTTTCTTTGTCCTCTAGAGGTTTAAAAGGGATTGACGGTGAAGAAGAGTTT